AGCGATGCACTTGTTCCTAGTAGCTTCTTGTTACTACTAGTAAGGCATTTGTTACTAGTAGCGATGCACTTGTTCCTAGTAGCTTCTTGTTACGATTATGCAGTCTAGATTTGGGCTGTATCTGTGTACGCATCAATCGTCGGCTATGGCATGCCAATCACACGGGAGTGGGTTCTGTGCTTTGTCGTCTGTGATTCTTCTGTTTCGGTTGTCTCGGACTGTCTCAGATTTCACTTCCTCACCTGATCGAAGTCGTTCAGCCGCCTGTCACGCTCCTCCTCATAGCTTACTTTGGCCTGCGTCTCAACCCTACTGAGCGTGGGACCAGATCAAAGATACATTTACCAAAGGCTCTAGCACTGACCCCACTCCTCAACCCTCGAGCAGGTTTGGAAATTAGGAAGATTCGCAAAAACTTGCCAAGCAGTGAGGACAAGTCCCTCGTGCAAGCAAGCAGCAGTGACCCACTCAAAGGGCGTCAAGAGATACTCTGTTGCCACAACGTTGGGCTCAGCACCTGCCTGTGCCACCCCACAAGAACACGGGATCGAAGAGGATTCTCTTTGAGAAATCGCTGTAGGGTGAATGCCAAAATGTCAGGATATTCTGCACTTGCTTCTTTTCCCTGGCCAGAGCATTTCGAGCCTTGATGAGCTTTTCTACAAAGTCAGCAGAGCCGCACATCGTTGCATTGAAGAGAGGAGTCAGGCCATCCTCATGTTGAGAGTAATACCCTTCAAACAAAGGCGATCCTTTATTTGCACAAATATGACAATGGTATCTCTCCAGAAAAAGGTGCGCTCGAAGCTCCAACTCAGAGACTACGCACGTAAACCACCGCTTCTTTTGGCAAATCCAACTGTGAAACAAGCCAGCATCTTGGCCGTCCTCATTCTTCCAATTTACATTGGGCTTCTTCTTCAGCACGCGTTCCAACCTCAGTTTGAATCTCGCTGCCTTCAACCACCCCTGTATCTTTATTCCTTGCCACCTGAAGACTGCTCGCAACTGGTCCTATTTGTCCAGCTGGTGGACATGCATATGGTCGGTCCGGTCAATAAGGGCCACACCGCTTGGGGCATTTACCTTAGGCATTGCATCTTGTGATCAAAGGATTCAGTTATCAATGGTCAAACTCACCAAGTGATTGAAAGAAAGAAGCGAGGACCTCTCACTGATGTTGGTCCAATCGCATGCTGGTTGCACAATTGTGACTCATTTCTCGTTCCAAAGCTCTTTAACGGAAAAGGTTTACCAGAACAGCCAAGTGACCCCAGCCACACACTACAAAGAGCTCCAACTCAGGAGACATCTTTGCTGACATTTGCACCTCAAAGTCAAATGACGATAAATCTCAGCATTTCGGCGGTAACCATGTCAAATGACGTTGGCCACTGATGCAAAGAAAAGACAGAAGCAAAACAATAAACAAAACAAAGGCATTCTCAAATGCCTATCTGCTGAACTAGTGTAATCGCCATTCCTACTGCAGTGCCCTCCCCCAAAGGCACTACCCTTGCAGAAAGAACCTCGCTGTCAGCACGGGTTCAGTTAAGCAACTGAGCAATGTGTGTTTGTTCCTCGGCAAGCGACGGTCGCAGCTTCCTTTGGCGCAATCAGCGGCATTTTGTAGCAGCTCTCCGGCGCGGTTGGTGGGCACCCTTGGCCAAAGGGGACCAAGAGAATGAGGGATCTGCGGTGGCAGGGTGTCAAACATACAAAAAGCATCAAAAAGACTGAGAGCGATACGCGTTTCTGCAATGCAAACTCCAAGTGCTGTGATATGCGCCAAATGTATCTAAGGCTTACTCTAAGGCTCTAAGGTTTGAATGAGGATTGTTGCTTCTTGCCTCTCTGCCTTTCACCCTGGCACAAAGAAAAGGGATGCAGCTCAGTCTCGGGCGTGAGTAACGTGGACGGATCGCAAGCGGCAGCCGCTTTCACTTCGAGCCAAGTCCCACGCGTGCACTGACCATAAACGGATTGACCGTGAACCATTACAAACCAACACACTTCCTTTCTTCCCTTTGCTTCCAGAACCAAGAAGCTATTAGTAACAAGTGCATCGCTTCTAGTAACAAGTGCCTTACTAGTAGTAACAAGAAGCTACTAGTAACAAGTGCCTTACTACTAGGAACAAAGGACGCTACTGGTCCGAATCTTGAAGCCACCGAATTGAGTGCCCCACTGAGCTGTTGCCACACTGAGATGGCGAGGTAGGTACATGGCCTGGGAGATCGGCAGAATCCAGTCTCGGTCACCCGTCATCTATCAGAGCACCAGCAAGTGGCAAGTGGTGATAAAATGTCCTTGAAGCATTGGTGCTGGGTTCAGAGCAGGCGATGCTTGAGTGGGGAAGAGCATCAGGGGCTGTTGCTCGGCCCGTTGTAAGGAAGACACACCTTGGATTGAAGCCATTCAGAACTGAAGAACCTGTGCACGAAGATCTAGCAAATGCGAAGAATCTCTAGAGTCTGAGTCTGAATGCCTTTAAGTCTAGTGTTCAGTATGATACAATATGGAGTCCTGTAAACTTGCGATACACAGCTCGCAATCCGAGGAGTAAGCAAAGTTTTACCAACTTCACCAAAGCTCCTCACAAAACAGTGCACTGGTCAGGCATCCACTCTTTCCCTTTCTAAGTCCATTCAATCTTTGCTGTTTGGGTTCTTGGCTTCTTTGTTTGTTGATTGGTTGGTTGGCTTGTTTTTTTTGTTTCTTTGCTTTGTTTTCTGTTTTGCTGCTAACAGGTCGTCGATAGTCCAGTCATAGTCTGGGGGGAGATGATCTATGTAGCTTTAATTGTCTCTAGAAGTCTTTGAGGCTAGCTGCTCGCCCTCTTTCAAACCTTTTGGCACCCGACTCAACTTTATATTGAGAGTTTCAAATCCAACTCAACTTCAAACTCCATGCCTCCAGGTGGTGTCACGAAATGATCCAAGAAGAGCCTAGACCAGCAGACTACTTTGATATGAACAGACACTGCTGTGACACACGTGAAGAGCGGGCAGTGTGAGGCAATATAGCAAAGCTCAGGACGCTCGAGAAAAAGAATTGTCACAACGCCAAGTGCACCTCAAGTGTTCCTTCAACTGCTCGTCACCTCCATGCAGTCACAAAATAGGCTTGAAGGAGCTGTTTGAAGACATGTTACATCATGCTACCATGTTAACTCACAAGTTACATCTGTAGGACAGCATTGGAAGTTCCTGAGATGATTTCCCCCAGATTCGAGTTGCCAACCTTCTGGGAAGAGAAATGCGGAGAGTGCTGCAGAAACGCCTTGGCCGCACAAGGCTAAAGCCGCTCATGACTCATGACTAGATTCTTGAGGGCCAAACTATTCCCACAATCGTCGCTTTTCTTGTGAGAAGCAAATGTACCAGAACTACCAAAACACCCTGCAAAATATGCCTATCTCATAGACTCATAGACAGCGAAGAGAGACGTAGTAGGGCAAAAAAAGGCCAGTCGGATTGGGGCCCGAGGGGTTCGAGTCATGGGGTCTGCTTCAAGCCTCAAAGCCTGTTGGCGAAGAATGGCGATCGATGAAGGAACCCCAAAACTAAACAATGACCAAATCGAAGGATAAAAAAAAAGATACTAAAAAAAGTGGGCCGAAGAAAACATGCCTGCATATCATTGACGGCCCTTTTCTATCACTTCACCAACTGCTTTCTTAGACTCCGTGAGGGGAACAATCCCATACATCCAATGTAAAAAAACGCAGAAACAATGGGATGAAATAGGCTCCAATCCTTTGAGTATCAAACCTCCGCACCCCAAACCTGGTTCAACTTGCCAGAACAACACCAAAGCACAACAGCATAAAGAGGTCCACTGAGATGCCGCACCACTGCAAGTGACTTCAAAAGCCGTGACACCCTCCTTTGCCAGCAGTAACGTCCGGAGTCGCTCCAATGCCTCGTGGCAAAACCGCCGGACAAGCCAGGTTCATGTGCTTTGCAAGATACTTTGCGCAACGACATGAGAGCATTTCCGGCTGGGAACCCAGCAGTCTTGGCATCTTTGGGAAACTGTTGGGCCTGGGCGATGGCCGCTTCATCTTGGGAGACAACTTGGTGACTAGAGGTTACAGTAGCCAAATCCAATAACATAGACACTGCAAAAATCCAGCAAATTGATTGATGGGATTTCGGGTTTCAGTATTCGTGAACTATTAACACACGTGGACTTGCCACATTAAGCCATCCACTGAATGTGTTGTGCATCTACCAAGACAACATCTACGAATGCACGTCCAAACGCCTCAACTTGCTACGAATGTCATGACAAAGCTTCCTCCAAGCAGCAATGTCTTTCATTTCCTGCAGTACAACCAGCTCCAGAGACCAACTGGCCTTAGCATAACAAAGTCCATGGGCCCGAACACCACGAAACATCACGAAACTCTTCTGCTGTTCGGTTTAACATGGTTTAACTAGCGGTTTTGCCTCCCTGCAGGGTCTCTTGAACCGCCACTCTGAATCTCAGAAATTTCCTGTCCAGCCCACAACGAAACTGGACATATAGAGAAACTCTCCTTTATCTCAGGGAGAGGTCCATCCAGCCACCTCTCAGGCTATGGCAAAGTGTTTGGTGTTCACGCGCTGTGCCACCTGACCAGTTGATACACCACAACGTCCGCTTCCTGTTTTGAGTGTTGTGGCAAGCTCCTCCCCCGGGTTGCCTCCCGGCAAAGCTTTCGCAAGCAACCTGCAAAGGGGATGAGAAGGTCTGAAAGCAGCTGGAGAATTCCAAACGGACATCCGACAGAAACGGATGTGCCTGCTGATGAGCTTGATGCAGGCCTCGGAATCTTGCTTTGTGGCTCAAAAGCCTTTTAAGACAAAGAACATTGTGGATGCAGCTCGTCGAAAGCTTCAGACAAGCACACCACCCAGTTCCCGCGGCTACTTTCATGCAATTGCGTGAAGTCACTCTTTCCGTGCTGGGACTGAACATTGATCTCCTAGCAACTGGTGTCTCGGCGCCCTCTGTTGCCTCTCGGTCTCAGCTTCACCAGCTGGTGCCTGTGTTTCGCGCACGTGGAATTCAGCACCCCTCGTCCAATGCCAAAGACTGGGTCTGCAATTGGGGGATACCTAAAACACGCTGCGCCACCAACCCTGGCTTGAGACTTTAGAATACCCAACGGATCAAAAGTAGCAAATTTAAAACAAAAAAAAAGCGCCTCCGCCTTCTCAATGGGATGGTCAGCCTTCTCTGCCGCCTGAGGGCAAAGTGGCAAAGAACTCATTGAGGTGCCCAGGAGTGGAAGTAAGAAAAGATTTCAGCTCCACTGAAACTGTGCTCTCCGCTTTTCTTGGGAAAAAGCTCCCGTTTCATGTGGAAGCTTTTTTGGTTCTCGTGGCAGCTTCTGTGGTGCACCTCCTCTCGCTCTCCCATATTCTGCACGGCATGCAGCACTCCTTGCCGAACGAAGTTCAACCTGTGCTGCGAGATCAGAAGTCGTCACACCACCAAAAGGATCTTGCACGTCTCTTGCAATCCTTCTCTATTGTCTAATCCAGCAGAATTCCCAAAGCCTAGTTAAAGCAAAGGCTCCCACACGTAGTCACTGTAGTGGTGTTGTAACATCTGCTCAGTGATGAGCCTCGTCCGCACGAATACATTACTTTCTCTGCAAAAGCTGGTAAAAATGAGTCTCCAGAATGATGCTC